ATGAATGGGGGAAAAGAATAGGTCGTATGCCTGTCCCAAGTCAGGAGTCGGTAATTCAGTGGTTGTCATTTGTTGTTGTCTATCATATTTGTTTTTAGATTATATTTTTTTTACATAAATCTGGCCGTTAGTTTTCTCGTTTGAATTGTTTTACATTTGTCATTTCGGGAACTTTTATAGCTGTCGTTGTGATATGGGTTTTGCTCATTGTTGAAGGCCGTACGGTGACCTATAGCTGGCAACTTCTATGTCATTTGGTCTCTGGTAGAGAGTTGTCTCATTGGCATGCAATCATACCACATCTTATTTTTTTATATAACTATATATCTCTTAATCATAAAAGCTTCCGCCAATGTTTCATACAATTCTTTGACAGTATGACAAGGTAATGTTTTTTTTTAATCTTTGCATTGCATTGCACAAAGATATGAGGGTCTGGATGCGGTTTACAAAATAGAGAATAATGGGCAAAACGTGCAGAATAAAGGGCAAAAAAAAAGAATAGAGAATACCAGGCAAAATTTATAATGAATCAAGAATCAAAGCACTGTAAGCGCTATAGGCAGTTAACCAAAAACCAAAGCAAAAATAATTATGAAAACTGTGGCAGTGTTGCTTCATTTTTTTTTTTTAATTTGAAAGAACAAACATTAAACATTCGTATATTGTACATGTATGTTTATTTAATGAATTGATTATTAAGGCAAATTAATTAATATTTTATCAAGGTTCTCAAAAGCAATGCATATATCAATGTATATTTTTAATGATGAGTTTGCAATGGTACAAGTTCGCAATGATTGCAGTTGTTGTAGTTGGTAGTTAATGTTGGTGCCAGTTGACTTTTAGTGGTACAAGTTGACGTAGTACGAGTTTGTAATAGTATGAATGGACTTGCTTCCCTGGCAGTAAAACTGTGTTTGGGTTCTACAGTACAAAAGTTTTGAGACACAAATCAGCCAAAGGTTTACTACTACAGGGATCAAAGGTGAGGTCTGATTGACCTGCCCATAGTAAATGTAAATGATCCTTACCTTCACCAAGTCCATGATGTCACTCCATCCCAAGTTTGGAGTAAAATGACAGGTGATTATAAAACAGTTGGTCAAACATTCTTGGGCTTTACACTGCTTGAAAGATTTATATGTTTTCTTTAAAATGAGCCATAAATAAAAATTTTCATAGGCCCAGAAATAATTAAAAAAATAAGTAAAGTAAATTCAATTAACCTAGACTTATTTTTGCATCAGTTAAATTTTATAAGAAACAAGAAATAATTGTTACGAAGTCTTCCAAACAGAGCTCCCATAATTCTTCATTCCCATGGTCGCCTGACATTGGGCAAAGTCCAGTACAAATTGGTTAGGTATAGTAATGTGATATGCATATGTGACCCCTAGGAGATTGACCCTGTATATCATTCAAATCTTCTTGAAATGACAAACAGGAATAAATATGGTTTAGGGTTGGGTATCTCACCGTTTACAAGTTCTCAAAAAGGGGGGGAGTGATCCCCAGGGGACTTACCCTGTATTTCATTCGATTTGTTTTATTGTCCCATACAAGAATATATATGGTTTCGGGGTGGGGGTCTCAACCGTTTACAAGTTTTCAAAAATAAGGGGGGTGGGGTGACCCCCGTGGAATCCCCCTATAATTCATTTGATTTGTTTTATTGTCCCATAAATGAATATATATATGGTTTAGGGGTGGGGATCTCGACCGTTTACAAGTTTTCAAAAATAAGGGGGTGGGGGTGACCCCAGGAACTCCCCTATATTTCATTTGATTTGTTATCTTGTCCCATAAATGAATATATATGGTTTACGGGTGGGGATTTCAACCGTTTACAAGTTTTCAAAAAGAAGGGGGTGGGGGTGACCACAGGGACTCTCTTTATATTTCATTTGATTTGTTACCTTGTCCCATACATGAATATATACTGTTTAGGGGTGGGGATCTCGACCGTTTACAAGTTTTCAAAAAACAAGGGGGTGACCCCTGTGGACTCCCCTATCTTTCATTTGATTTGTTTTACTGTTCCATACAAGAATATATATGCAGTAGGGTGGGGATCTCGACCGTTTTACAAGTTCTCAAACATAAGGGGATGGGGTGACGCTGGGGATTCCCCCAAATTTTCATTTGATTTGTTTTATTGTCCCAACACAAGTATATATATGGTTTAGGGGTGGGGATCGCGACCGTTTACAAGATAAAAGCACATTTTCGAATTGAAGGGGGTGGGATGACCCCCAGGAACTCACCCTATATTTTATTTGATTTGTTCTATTGTCCTGTTATTATTACTGAAGACCGTGTGCGTCTATCACTTACTATTTTCAAGTAATAGTCATTTGAAAATTGAAAAAAAATAAAATCCCATAGGGTTCTATATTAAACTCCTCCCTTCTTAAGGCCCCTCAAAATACCCCTAAATAGACCCCAAGGCACAAACGAAAGATTGATGGCTCCGCTTGACATGTTAGTCTAACATTTTATGAAACCCTAAGTAAATCTGACAAGCGGTCCGAGTTGTCTCTGGGACGAGTTGTCCACATTTTATAAAACATCCGATCAACGTCGATTTTCATCTTTGTCATTCATAAAACAACAACAACTTTATCAGTAAGGGGAAAGAACTCATTAATCTAACGCAAACATGGCGGCTATCCGGGGAAAATCAAGTTTTGTGTTTACAAAAAGGTTGGTTATGCAGATCGTATGAAGAAGAATGACTTGTTACTTTGCCATAATTTATTTAAGATCATGATCTTTCGGTTTATCTATATGCCTATTATAATCACACGGTGCAAATATGTTAAATCTGACTGCAAAAAAGTTGTGCTATTGAAAAATGTTAAAATTGAAATCCCAAGATAATGGGGATTTCAACTTTTTTAAATTTCTGGCGTATAAAAGATATACTTTCATATTTTTTAAGTTATAACTTAAAATATAATTGATATATTATTGTTACTTGATATTATATGTTGAAAAAGTAAGATCGGTAAACAAAATAACGAGTTTTCAGTTGCACATATTGCATGTTGTTATTTTATTGATATGCTAATGAAACACAACGTCAATAATTGTTTACCACCCAGTACATTTCCAACTCTAGAAATAGTCCCTAATTCTGAAAAGGATGTTCAGAAGCAAAAGTGATTTGCAATTTACAACCATAATGCAATAATTAGTGTTTAACATGCATGATGTACAAAACAATATACATGTTCAGCTTGGATGTTGAGTTATGCAGTGTGTCTGGTAGTTATCTGAAGGTATAATCCATAGCCAAGGTCAGCTGACTTGGCTATCATATATGTGTCCATCTGATCATCTATCCCAAATTTATATGTACATGTAGGGCCTAGATGTCATTTAGTCATGTCGTATGGTTGCTGTCTCAGCATACATTGATATATACCATGGCAGTATCTTTTTTATTCAATTACCACAATAGAAAAGCTCGTATATTACATGTATATATATAGCAAAATTGCAATTAATTATTTAATAGAAATACATATTGTACATTCCTCTTCTTAGACAGTCTGCACCAAAATCTTTTCGAACTACTAGGCAAATATTCAGACATTTTCCTTATGTGTCTAAACAAAGTTTTGCAAAAATTAACTAGTCCAAATAAAATTTTACTAGTCTGGGGCATCAGACTAGTGGCTAACAGTGCAGGCTGCTTCTACATTTACACATACATGTATATATAGTTTGTATATGTACAATGTACATGAACTGCATCAGATGTCTTGTAGTAATGTCAGGTACAAAATGTAACTAAACTGTAGTGTGCAGGCATGAATCATGGGAAGTTATAAGTTGGATCTGGGGCCAAGTCAATCTATTGACTTGAAAAATGGTTTTGCTGCTTCTCTGCTAAGCACCCTCTGCTTTAAGGGGTAACTAGAGTAAATACTTGGTCAGCTGAGGACTTAAGCCGCTCATGTCTTCCTGTAGAATGTTTACAGTAGAAATGGCATGTTAAAAAGGTGACTAAGTTCGCCTGTCTAGCACAAAGCAGTGTTCATACTCACATTACATAACATGTAAAGTTTGCCATTGAATTTTACAGGGTTGGCAAATTATTATAAACCTGATTTTCTAAGGTTAGGCAATACCCCCAGAAGTTGGTATTAAATGCATGTTGTACTGCATGTACTGAGTAATGTGGTTGTTGTTTTCTTGACCCATGCTGGATGGGGGATATAGAATATTTTGTAGAAGTACCTTGCGTCCATCTGATGGTAGGTATACATTGTACATTTTTTGGTGTCAGAAGTTATTAAAATCATTATCAAAGGTTAATACATTGTACCAGCAAGGTCTTGGAACTGTTCAGTCAAATTGTTTTTACAGGAGTTATGCTGCTTGTTAATAGATATTATAGGGAAAATTACATTGTTAGGGATTTCTTGACTACATTTTGTAAGATATTTAATACATAGAAGTATATAAGAACCCAACAAATTTTTCTTAAGTAATATATAATTGTCCTTGGACAGATAAAATATGTGCCACATTGGAAACTATCTGTCAATATTGTCATGTTTTATTTAATTTTAATTTTACACAAAACAGTTCAAACATATTGTAGTTTCATAATACCATTGCCATATATAAACATTTTACACAGAAAAACCTTGAGTTATTTTAAGAAGAGAAAAAAAAATCAATTTCTTCAATTTCTCAAACAATTTCATATACTAAATGCACAGAACAAGTATTGTATAAAATAAGGATATTAGATATATGTGATATGATTGCCAATGAGACAACTATCCAACAGAGTTTAAATGACAGGATTAAAGCAACTATAAGTCAACAAATGGTCTTCAATAATGAGTAAAACCCATACCTTATACAAGACCCTGACATAACAGAATGGATCAAAGAACATTATTTGAACAAAAAACTTTTTTTCCAGTTCAAAGAATATTACTGGTATTGTAATATTTCATTTTTTTTTTTTATTTACAAATTGTTTGTTCACTGTTGGTCACTTAATGTAAGTGGGAAAAACTGATTGGATAAAGATATTAAACAGTCTTTATAGTACAGGTGAAATAGGTGAGTTTTCACAGTAGTAAATTTGTTTGTTCTTTTTGAATAGGGGACATTTCAATAGTAAAATTAAATCGGTATTAATATTTTGCATTGTAATTGGCCACTGTACCATTTGTAGTTAAATTAAAATAAAGTTGTTATGTTTTGATTTTGATAAAACAGTTTACCTTTTACTGCTATAAAATGTTTTATTCTTTATTTCATCTCTCAATTTCAATTTTTGCAGGAGACTCATCTGATTGTGGAGTTACATGCATACAGATGCTGTTTTGAATCATAAGAAATGACTGATATTAATTAATTTCTTCAGTTCCTCATTAGCTTCTTCACAAGGAATAAATTGTGTAAGGAGTTCTATATTCCTATTTAAAGACCTAACTTTTTTTTCCATTTGAGTGTATGAAAGCAAATTAATTGAATTCATTCTGAATACTGAGCTTATATAGTTTTATGTACTTGTATATGTGACTTTATCTTTATTTGACTTTTTATTTATAAGTTATCTAAACATTAATAATTTTATTCTTTGTATGAGAAGCTATAAACAATCGACTATATATATATATTTTTTTCTCGCCTGCGATGAAAGTCCGGGAAAGTGAGACATAAGGGTTCCTTTTCTGGCGACGATGGCTCTGGCATCAACAATTGTTAAGTTTTCTGCTTAAGTTAGTAAGTTTGACAGGTATTACTTGTGATAGATCATTGATATTTAATATAAAGTTGTATTACTATCAGTACATATCAGTTTGACAACTATTTTGAGGCCCTGTCCCTAGGATATGGTGCAGTGACTTGGATTTAGAGATTTTCAATATTAATAGAAAAACAAAGGTTATGGAGTATCCATCCATGACACAAAATCAGTAAATGCACAACAAAAAAGCAAAGGAACAGTGCTTTTATTGCTGTTCTTCATCCCAAAGTCACAGTGAGACCTCAACTCTGAGCAAAGAAACTCTCACTTCACTGCAAGTTTAAGACGGCCCCTAGCACCGGCTTTAGCGGAATTTTTTGCAAAAATAATTTGGATAGACTTTGTAAGATGTAACACCACTCAATCAGGCTAAGTCGAAAAAGAACATACTGGAAAGTAGTACATATTTTAAACAAAAAAGTTTACTGCATAAGTTAGTTTGATAGGATCTAATTCTGACACATACATTACAATATATCCAAAAATAAAGTAATTGTCTGATACAGAAGTTTTATATGTTTTAAAGAAATGCTGTTTTTGCCTTCTTTGTTTTTATTCCCTTTGAAAATATATCATTTTGTCCAACAAATTTAAAAAAAATCTGCATCAAGGCTTTGTAATATTGCAAATATTTGACCTGATAACAATTTAGACTGTTGGAATCATCATTGGCATCATAATGATATCAAGTTTGACCTGACATGAGGAAGGCAAGTTTCATAAACTTATGAAACAATAAAATTGAGAATGGAAATGGAAATGGGGAATATGTCAAAGAGACAACAACCCGACCAAAGAGCAGACAACAACCGAAAGCCACCTATGAAACAAGTTTGTTTTGGATCAAGAAAATACTCAAATTAATACAATAAACAATGTATACATTGACATATACACACATTAAAAATAGATGAGTTATGAGAGAATCCTTTTTTATAAGCTAATCTGGCAAAAGTGACTAATTGTGTCTTCATACTCAGTTCATTGTTTGTCGTCTGTAAACCTTTTAGCTCACATCCCCATAAAGCCACTGAACTACTGTATAAACTTACTTGTTGTCCATTGTAAACTTTTTACCAAACTTGAGGTGAATGGTTCTTATGGTGTCTAGTATAAACTTTGTTGATTTTTATTCTGGTCAGTCTGTACACAGCAAACACTTTTGGATGAGTCTTTAAGGAATTATTACCATTAAATAGTGATTTAATCAATTTTTGCATTTTGGGCAAATTCAATAGTAGTTTAAAAGAGAAACTGTAACCAGCCAAAATGATCAGCAATATGCATGATTTACATATAAGATATGCATGCTGAATTAGAATCGGGTCTATAATGTAAGAGAGTGGCCATTTTTGAAGATGCAAATAGATCCAAGTGAGTGACACCATAGATGTATACATCTATGGTGACACAGACTATTGTCTAGTTAAAAGAGCTGCCCTGAAACTACTGAACCAATTCAAACCAAAGTGACATGATCGATGGTGCTTAGTGGTGTGTAAAATATTGCTTAAATATTGTATGTCAATAAAAGACGAGTTGAAACAAAAAAAGATCAGCATTTTAGGCGCATTGAGCCTGTAGTTTACCATTTTGCTGTGACTGATAACAGCTTCATATCAGGATCAGTGCTGAACTTATATACTTTGTTGTGTCTTTCTGACGAAGTTTTGTTTATCTTTAAAATGTCACAAAGAGTGGGTCATGAATTAAATTGACCACTGTCTCGAGTCACAGGGAGGACTGGGCACTAACAAACATTATTAACCCTGCCAGGTTCTGTATGCGTTTGTCCCATGTCATGGAGGATCAAATTGAGAATGGAAGCGGGGAATGTGTTAAAAGAGACAACAACCAGACCAAAGTGCAGAAAACAGCCCATAGCCACCAATGGGTCTCCAACACAGGTGCTGCTGTATTTCGGTGATTGTCGTTGGTTGCTGGCTTTCATATTTTATTTTCGTTTCTGATTCTGATGGTGTGTTTTAAAAAACAAGAATCAAAAGAATTTGTAAAGATTTGGGGCGGTCCAGAATTGCTTGTACGATTTAATGCTAAACAATGATACATTATCCAATTAAAGGGGGCGTATGCATTCTACGCCCTCCCCCTTAATCCATACATAATTGGATTGAGGTGAGGGGATGGGTAGACAAGTGGACCCGCCCACCCTTATAGGAATACATGTCTATTGCATTTAGACTGTATGCCCCACTCCTGATGTTTTTTAGTGGTTCCCCCTTTTTTAAATCCTGGATCAGCAACGGATATGGTATATGAAACATTGATTGAAGATGAAAACAGGGTAAAATATGATGTAAAGCAATGCATATATATTACTCTTCAAGAGTATTTTGAAATCGCTTGCCAACCCGTGTATTAAAAAAGTAAGATATAATATAACGTATTAAGGGAAATCATAAATTTATACAAAATATATTCATTCGTATATCTGCATATCCTAGCTTTTTTGTGAAAGGATTACGTACCGAAGTACCACCTACCGAGAGTTCAAATTTTTAAATTCATATAATGAGAAAAAATACAATCAGTTAAACTGACAAATTCTTTGAATAGGAATAAACCATAAAGGTAATGAAAACCGTGTGTTAAACTTCAAACACAATACCAATACCAAAGGTTACGGCTACAACGATTATTAAAAAGAAAAAGAAAGGGAGTCATAAAATTTAAATTGCATGAATTATAATATAATAGCCCAATCATTTATGACCTCGGAGTCAATACTTTCTATTTCTGTTTTCTGATATTTTCATTGCTTATTTTACTATTTCTTATATTTTATTTTCTATATACCATTTTAAAATCAAATGTACCCCCTCCCCCTAAAAAAAAGAAAGAAAGAAAAATGAAAATACCACCAAAAGCCTTTGAAAAGAAAGGATAATGCGCACGTTTACGGACTAGTGTAACAAGAGAGAAAAAAACAACCGTACGTAAAATCATAGCTGTATTAAAAAAACCATACATCTATGGTAAAATCCAGGATTTGTATAGTGAAATCAAATCCTTTGTAAAATGAAACAGTCGGTCGAATACACCGCGGACCAAGTATAAGGTGTACATGAAGTATTGCAGATTAACAACAAACTATCTGCTATTAATTCGATCACCGACAAAAAAAAAAAAAAAACAGCAAAAAGCAGAAAAAAACTAATTAATAAAAAAAAACACTGTCGGTAATGGTTATACCAGAGACATGTATCTATATGTCTCTGGTTATACTATCTTCAACAGTATAATGGAGGAACGATGTGGCGCGTGGTTGTGATTAATACGCCGCCTAGATAAACAAAACTGTGTATTGACCTTTTAGTGATAGAAAAACAGAGTTCAAATATATAAATATTCATGTTATAACTTATTGTCATACTTCCGTCAAAACTTTTAAACCAATAGCATGACACAAATTATTTTTCGAACAGCTCTGATATTTTCTCATAAATTATAGTCAAACCCAGAGAGGTTCGAACGAAATCTTCCAAGCATAGTATCATTGGTTTCCTTTCCCCTTACTTATATTCCCCTGACTTTATGGAAGTACACCACTAATTCATGGCCCCGTTGCTTTCTATGTTAAATTCCTCAATTTCAAGCAGACACAGCTCTTTTGTTTCAAGTTCAAATAAAGTGACAATCATTGCATGTCAAAGCAACACTTTACGGTGTCTTGTACTGGAAAAATCAACATACCTTTAATGGCATATAAGAAAGAACTGGTTCCCGGAACTTCGGATGTACCAAAACAGGTACTTCAGATCTGACATACAGGCAAAAAGTACCCTCTTTATAAAATTTGGTGCAGTTTTTTTAATATTTAAAATTATAAGTCAAAAAGTGTTCTACAATGATCACCAGTCATTAAGCTTTCATTTGATATCAACAATACCTAAATATTCTACATATTTTGAAAGTTACACTCATGCGTAGGAACTATTTTGTGCTAAATATGTACTACTTTCTGGTATGTGCTTTCTGGCCGGGCCGAATTAGTGGTGTTACACCTTATTGGCAGGTTCAGTCGGAATAATTTAATAAAAGAAAGGAATTTAAATGTGCATACATTTAATTGAAATTAATTGATTAATCACAATCTTCTTAAACGAAAAGAAGATCATGATAAACAAAACTTACTTTATAACATCAGAATACTTACTAGCTTACGTTTCGTGTAAGTTAAAATTACCGCCAACTTAGACTACTATGTATAACTTTATTTCCTCTATCATAGAGATTTGGTGTACATGAACAATATTGCTGCGCCGTTTGCCATTTGGGAAATGTAAACGACTTGCAATTAGAGATTTTCGGCGATGAAATATTTCATACAATTGTTCTTTGTCATCTTAGCCAAAAGCTCTTAGCCAAAAGCACATGGGATAATAAACTACGTACGGATTTCTATTGAGCACTACTGCCTATGTGCAACTTCAAAAATTTTGGGTGGTTCGACGATCATTTAAGGTTTTTCTGGTCATATTTTTTGTATTCCAGAATTGAAAGTATGAAAAAAGTGCCCAATTAGTTATTAATAACATATTACCCAGCTAGATAATAACAATAGCACTTTTTACAACATTCAGTGGGAAGAACACAAATCTAGGGTGGTAGCATAAGGCAGCTTAACTGCCTAAAAATGGATCAACAAATTAAGAATGCAGAATTGAAGGACCCCCCGCCCCCATCCAGACCCTCTTGTACTGTTTATGGCGTTGCTGTATGATATTTTCTCTAAAGTACAGTAACCGATATTAGAGTGCAGGACATCATATCATTCTTTAATAACCTATAGTAAACGAAACATAGCACGATGCACGAATAAAAAGAGGTGTGAGGTATACGTCAATGAGACAGCAACCCAACTACAGAAATAAACCGAAAGACATCTAGAGGGAGATCTGTAGTCTTCAACAAAAGACAGGTGTCCTAGAAATATGTCTTATAAGTGCTATCAGATTTCCTTTTTTTCAGCCAACAGTGTACACGGAAAATTAAGTGTGAAATAGAAGGAGAATCAGACAG